CTGCAGCAGAGCTGGTGAACTAGGTACACTTAGCCAGAATGTTCCAGCTACAGTGACAACTCAACTCTTTTTGTTTATACTTTCAGCCTCCTTTGATATCCAATGAGTTTATATTTGCAATTAGTGCAAAAACCTGCTGGGGTGGCATGTTTTATGCGGTATTTTACATTGTGAAATGCAGACAGCCAACAATATGTTAATGAATAATGTTTTCTTGGATGCAGAAACTCACAAGTCCAAAGTATGTTTCTGACATACAGTTCCACTGAACAGTCAGAAATTGTTTGGAAATGGAGACAGGTGTATTACAGTCCCAGCCTCCTTTAAAATGATTGTGTTCCAATACACCGGGGCTATGTCTACACTCGCGGCTTCTTGCGCAAGAACATCTTGCGCAAGTGTTCTTGTGCAAGAAGTCTTGCTTAAGAAAATGTCCACACTGCCATGTGCGAGCTGTGCTTTTGCGCAAGAGCGTCCATGGCAGCGTGAACGCTTTCTTGCGCAAGAAAGCTCTGATAGCCATTTTAGCCATAGGGATTTCTTAGCCATTTTAGCCATAGGGCTTTCTTGCGCAAGAAATCCCTGTTGAGCGTCCACACTACCCTATTGCGCAAGAGCTCCTGCGCAAGAGGGCTTACGCCTGTCAAAAAAGAGCGCAGCTCTTGCACAAGGAGCCCCCTCTTACCACGCCGTGCTGTAAATGTACTTGAGCAAGAGCAGGCGGGCAGTGTGGACGCTCTGCAGATTCTTGCGCAAGAACGGCTGTACTTGTGTAAGAAGCCGCGAGTGTAGACATAGCCCAATAGTGCAAATCTCACATGTTCTAGGTATGCTAAGATGACTATAAAGCAGCCCAGTAGGTGAATGGGATCTAGTAAAGGAGTTAATTTGCTAAATCAGCTTTCAGATAAATAGAACATTCGTTTATTTTAGGACATAATACAAGCACATTTTGGCCCCAAATGCCCTTTGACTACAAGTGGCAGTATGGACTTTGTTTGTGCTTATTTGCTTTGTACCATATAAAAATGCTCCACATATGAAGGCCATTTAGCACTGAAATGATCTCATTTGTCTATTGCCATATTGCTGTGGCTACATAAACAATGAATGCTAGTATTGCTTTATCAGTATTTAATCAAATGAGTTAAACAAATATTTATGTGCATGGTAGTTAGGGAAATATTCTGTGCTGGCCAAATTCTCGGTTACACCTGTGCAATCCAATTGAAGTCATGGTGGTTATAAAGCTGTACGAGGGCAGGATATGGGCTTACTGCTTTTGTCACAGACCAAAGCAGGCTTCCTTTGCTGGCTAACCACCAGCCTGCTGTGATGGAACCCAGCCACTGGATTTCCAGGTATTCCCCTGGAGTCCAATCATTCCTCAGTCTCAAGGCACTGAACTGCTGTTTCACACCCCTTCCCTCCTGAGCTCTGCAACCTGCTGTTCTATTGCTTTTAAGCATATATACTACTTAAATGTTTTGCTCAATAGGGATGGATAGAACATGGTTTATGGTACGCACATATGCACACTGGTGAATTGGGGCTGTGGTTACTTTATTACAGGGGTGGGCCTAGCCCTAGAGGGAACCACTAGATGTTCTCAACAGTAAATGAATTCATCTACTCCCCCGCCCCAGATCCAGCACAGCTAGAGCCTCTGTCTTTCTTTCATTGGTGCAGGGGAGGGGAGGGATGGTTGGTGAGGTAGGCAGATCATAACAAGCTCCGAAAATGAATTTGGCATATGGACCTTCAGGTATTGGCTCCAGCAAGTGTAGTTTGGCTTAACGCCCCAGCTTGCTCAAAAGGATAATAGTGGAGCCATAATCAGCTCCGATAGATTGCCCTCCCAGATGTAATAGAATCTAGAGAGCAAAATATTTTCCATTAAATAATAGCATCAAGTACACAGCATGCAGTGTGTGTGTATACGTATCTATATATGGACTTACACAAATACCACCTTTTAAAATGAGTCACTGAAAATCACAAGCTAATTATGTCAAAGGCTTAGTCGATATACATGAATAGCATAGCTGAAATTGACATTTAGAGCTACTCACTGCAGTGTCTTTGTTGCAGTGAGTTGATGGCAAATGCTTTCCCTTCAACTCCATCTCCACTTCTTGTTCTGTTGGAGTACCAGAGTTAACAGGCGAGTGCTTGGTGGTGGATTTAGTATGTCTATACTAGACATGAAGAATCAACCTCCATTGACTCAATCACTGCCTGTTGATCTGGCCAGTAGCATAGACATGCCCTAAGGGAAATAGGTGCAAGCCATCCCCTCGAAATTCTGTGGGAAAGGGGCACTGAGCTCAGTTGGGTTCCTTTGAAAACCCTAGCCTAATTTTCTAGTTTCCCAGTAAACCGCCATCATGGTATGTAAAACATCATGAGGCCGTGGAGGTTTTTCGCCTTCCTCTGTAGCATGGGGCACAGACCACAGCTGGAGGATTCGCTGCATCTTGGGGTCTTCAAAGTATTTGAAGGCTTCAATATCTGAGATATAGGTGAGAGGATTATTCTAGGAGGAGTGGGTGAGATTCTGTGGTCTGCACTGTGCAGGGGGTCAGACTAGATGATCATAATGGTCCCTTCTGACCTTAAAGTCTATGGCTACGTCTACACTGGCCCCTTCTCCGGAAGAGGCATGCTAATTTCGAACTTTGGAATAGGGAAATCCGCAGGGGATTTAAATATCCCCCGCGGGATTTAAATAAACATGGCCACCGCTTTTTTCCGGCTTGGGGAAAAGCCGGAAAAGAGCATCTAGACTGGCGCGATCCTTCGGAATAAAGCCCTTTTCCAGAGGATCTCTTATTCCTTTCAATATTTAAATCCCCCGCGGATCTCACTATTCCAAAGTTCGAAATTAGCATGCCTCTTCCGGAGAAGGGGCCAGTGTAGACGTAGCCATAGACTTTAAGGTCAGAAGGGACCATTATGATCATCTAGTCTGACCCCCTGCACAGTGCAGACCACAGAATCTCACCCACTCCTCCTAGAATAATCCTCTCACCTATATCAGTGTAGCCATTGAGTCTATCTTTTCTTTAGAGTTTTTTAGTTAAACTGACCTTCACAGCAAAGAACGCTCTAAAAGATGTTTTATTTGATTTCTGCTGTTTGGGTGATTGCCCATGCATGCTTAGGGACCATAACTTCAAACATGACAGTTATGTTGGGTACAGTGTGAAGCTTCTATGGAGATATGAAGGTCACCTGAGGCTTTCAATTCTACTTGTCAGATTTTAGCCAAAGACATTTCCATAGGGTGTTTATCAGGTAGGTGATTGTAAAAATAACATTAATTCCAGGGGTACATATGGAACAATTCAGTGGTATGTTATGCATGTTCAGAGTTTGATATTAGCATAGGTTGGACTTCCCCTGTCTGGCACCCTTGGGACCTGAGTGGTCCCAAAAAGTGGAGTTTGCTGGATAAGGGCAGGTCAAGGCTCCCTATCTTGCTATAGGCTCTGCTCCTAGGTGGGACTGCTTTCCCTGCTGCCTCCTTGAACCCTTCAATTTGCCAGACCTGGCTAGACCTGCATTCCCTCACTGCACCAGCCTGGCTGGGAGTGTGCTGCTGCACTGCACCAGACCCGGCTGAGGCTGCGATCCTGGTCCTGGCCAGGGGCATGCTCTCCACCCTGCTGGCCCTGGGTTTCCCACTGCCAGCCCAGCCCAGGCTGTGCTTCTGAACCTGGCCAAC